GGGGGGGGGGGGGGGGGGGGGGGGGGGGGGGGGGGGGGGGGGGGGGGGGGGGGGGGGGAGACGGAGTGCCAAGTGAAGAAGCAGGAGGAGGGGACAGAGGGCAGGAGGGAATGGAAGGGGAAGAGTGAATGGAGATCTCAAGGAAGGGAGGGATGGAATGCCCGGGGCAGAGCAAGTAGGGGGAGAGGGGAGGGGTGTCCCCAGCCCAGGGGGGTCCGGCACGCCCGAACACACACCGAAAAATGCCCCCCCCCCCCCACCCCCCATCATGCTCACCGGTCGGCATTTTGCCGGTCGCCGAGCGTCGACAAACAACCGATGCTCAGCAAGTGGGCACCTTCACACACACACACACACACACACACACACACACACACACACACACACACACACACACACACACACACACACACACACACACACAAGTACACGCAATACACAGGTACATGTACACCCAGGTACGCGCACCAAGAGACCCGGGGAGGGGGGGGGGAGCAAAAGCCAGCCCTGGCGAGCCGGCGAGAGACAACGGCCAACACACGGGAACGCCAAGCAAGCGCACGAGTGTCCACCAACAGAGCCACGCGTGCCCAAGGGGAAGGCTCCCACGCGCGGGGGGGGCATGCCGCCCGAGGATCCCCCCATGCATCCCCCACCCCCCTCCAAGCTGACCGCCGAGGCCGCCACACCCGTGTGCATGCATGCCCGGGCGAGGCCACGCCTGCCGGCAGCCAGCGAGCCCACGCACGTAAAGTCATATGATCTAATATTTGCACAAGTACAACCGTTGGCATTTGGGGCCGAGGGAGGAGGAGGGAAGAGAAAAGGAGGACGGGAAAAGCGGCACAGGGGCCGAGAAAGACAGGGGGGAGAGAGAGAGAGAGAGAGAGAGAGAAAGAGAAAAGAGACCGAGACAGAGGGCGGGCGTGTGTGTGTGTGTGTGTCGGGGCATGCGCGACCGAAAGGGGACACAGGTGCACAGCGGGGTCCCCGCGCGGGGGCGCGCACGCGTAGGCCCCGGCCTCAAGAGCGCCCGCTCTTCTTGCCAACCTTGCCGAGGGCACGACGGCGGGACACGAGGATGTCACGGTCGCTGGCCTTGTGGAGCTGGCGAGTGGGCTTGCCCTTGGTGGGCTTGCCCCAGGGGGTCTGCGAGGGGCGACCACCACGGGTCTTACCACCGTGCGGGTGATCGATCGGGTTCATGACCTCACCACGGACGGCGGGGCGGATGCCGAGCCAGCTGCGATTTCGAGGGTCGATACGTGCGCAAGCAGGCACGGTAGTGGGGTGGGGGGAGGGGGGAAAGAGGGATGTCAGCAGGTGTCAAGGGGGGGGGCGGTGGGGCGCGCAAAAGAGACCGAAAGATGGCAAACAACAAAGCGGCATGCGTACCGGCTGACACCGGCCTTGCCATGGACACGCAGCCCATGAAGGGTGTTCGAAACCACACCGAGCGTGGCCTTGCACTTGACGCTGACCTGGCGAGTCTCACCGGACATCAGGCGCAGAATGGCCATCCCGGTGGGACCCGAGCGCAGGAGCTGTGCGTAGGCACCCGCCGCGCGGGAGATCTTGCCGCCGGAGCCGGGGACCATCTCGATGTTGTGCACAAGCGAGCCGACCGGGATCGAGGAGAGGGGCAGGCAGTTGCCAGGCTGTGAGAGGGGGGCGTTTTGGACGGGAGAACAGTCAGACAGGGAGACGCCAAGGAGCGGGAAGCGGAGAGAGAAAGAGTGCGCGTGCGTGCGTGCGTGTGCGTGTGCGTGTGTGTGTGTGTGTGTGTGTGTGCAAAACAACAGGCAAGCTACTCGGAAGGGCGAGGGGGCCATGCGCTGGTCACAGTACCTGAATGTCGACGTCCGGGCCGGAGGTCACCACGTCGCCGGGGTTGCAATCGCGATAGGCCAGGATGTAGGAGAACTTGCCGGTGACCTCGTCACGGGTGAGGGCAATCCAGGCCGAACGGTTGGGGTCATACTCCAGACGCTGGACAACATGGGGGTTGGGGTTGTTCCGGTGGAAGTCCACCATGCGGTAGAGGCGGCGATGGCCACCACCGTGGTGGCGGACCTACATGAGACGCAGAGGGGGGAGGGGGAGGAGGAGGACACATTAGGACCGAGTGGAAAGGAGACAAGGAGGAGAGCGCCAGTCCGAGCGGCAGAGGAGGGAGCGGGAGGGGGGGGGGAGAGGAACAAAGGAGGGAAAAGCCGCAGGGTGGTGACAGGAGCGCACAGTGATGCGGCCGGTGTTGTTTCGGCCACCCTTCTTGCGGAGACCGATGGTCAGGCGCTTGTAGGGACGACCGCGATAGAGGTGGTCGCGCGAGTTGATCAGACGGAAGCGAATACTGTTGGTGACCGGCTTGAACTTCTTCATGGACTCCTGGTAGATGACGATGCGGCTATGATGGTCGGCAGTACTATCGACATGCACATACACCCGCACGCACGCACGTACGTACGTACGTACGTACGTACGTACGGGGGGGGAGCAGGGGAGAGGGGGAAAGGTCAGGGGGAGGGCAGGAGGGGAGGGGCACTGGGACAGCCCTGTCCAGAGAGGGGTGGGGCGGCGGCCAAGGTGACGGGGAGACCTACCGGGGAACAATGTTCACCTTGCTGGCGGAGCCGGTGTCGACAATGGTGCGCATGGCGGCCTCGGAGAGGCCGTGCGAGGTGCTATACATGCGCCGGGCCTCGGCCAACGGGCCGGAGGGCTCGGCATTGGACACAGTCAGGCGGCTAAGCAGGCCGGTGGCGGCCGGGCGGCTAGCAAGCACGGCAGAGGAGGCCACCGAGGGAGCCGCCGACAAAGCGGCGCCCGACTGGCCAACGAGACCAGCCGACGAACGGAGGGAGGAGGCGAGCGAGCGCCGGGCCAGCTGGC